GGGGCCACCTCCCCATCCCAGGCGCGCCCCGCGCTCGGGCTCACCGCCTGCTGCACTTTTCTTTGGCCTCTTTCCTCCCCTGTTTACTCCTTTACCTTTGAGCCTTCGTCTGTGTCCAGCTCTCCCCGCTTCTGTTTCTGCTCCATCCCACGCCGCTTTTTGTCCCCTAGCCGGCGCTCCCCTCAGCCTCTCCGCTCCCTCCCACCTCCCCGCCAGACTCTCCTTTGCTGCACCAAAGAAGCGAAGAGAGACCGAGGACTGAAAGAGGGGCTCCCGTGTGATTGTTTGTTGCTGTTATTAGTAAACACGATCGCAGCCCCCCTGGAGTGAGTGGGGGGCAACGCAGGGGGTCCCTGATCTCCTGGTCCGATGATCTTGCCCTCCCCCACTCCCAGTCCTTCTTACCTCCCCCACCTACTCGAGAGCCGGCCTCAGGGCCGCTTACGGACGGAAAGGAACAAACTTTTGAGTATGCCTTGGACAGGGGAGTGGGGTAAGTGGTGGGACCCCGCAGGTGGCCTTTGCTGCCCTTTCGCTAGGGCGCTTTGGACCTCGGAACCGGGGTGCCCGCCCCTCCCCGCTTAGCGTAAGTGGCTTCTCTCCTCTCATTTTTTTTTTTTTCTGGGGCGGCGGTGGTAAGTTTTGCATTTCGGGGAGATCGGGATTGGAGACCTCCACACCATACCCTGGGGTCACCTCACCTTCTCCACCTCCCCCTGCGCCAACTTCGAGGACCGAGCGTTCCAGGTGGCTAGGTGGACCTCAGAAGGGCAGCAGGCGCCGCTCGGAGCAGCGAGGCGGGCGAGAGTCGCAGCCCTGGTACCCGGGCAGCGCAGAATTCCCCCCCGCCCTCCCACCACCACCCCTCGGTGTCCTCTGTCCTCCCTGAAGCCCCCAGCGCCGAATTTGCCGAAAACATCACCCTGAGGGCGAAATTCAGAGAAACAGTCGGGCTCTGGATGGCCTGTACCTTTTGAATGTGGTTTTCTTTACCCTTCCTCCTGCTCCTCCCTCCTCCCTCCCTTTTTCTTTCAAATCGTAGTTTGTTTATGATTGCTTGGATAACAGGAGGAAATAAGGAGTCTGCTAAAAGAAAGGTGCTAAACAAAACTAATCAATAAATAACAGGAAGAGGAGGAATTGCATCTAGAGTGAGGAACAGTTTGCTGTGCCCCGTGGCTGATGGAGGCTCGTGTTCCTTTCTATTTGTTTATACTCCGTTCCCAACTCCAGTGCTGAAGTTTGTAAAAAACCATTAGGGTCTCTCTTGCTCGCCTTCCAGTGTCATCATCGCCCAGCTCCGCGTCTGGCACAGAGGGGCCTCCCAACAAATATAGATCGAGGGGACTTTATTCCTTGTGCTTTAACCCTTTGGTGGTTGGAGCGTTCCTGCTCTCCGCATTCTAAGGGCTACGCTAAGCATTTAAAGAGAGGCAAGAAAAGGCCGATCGCTGGAGCCAGAGTTAAGGATTAGTTTGTGTCCTCTGATTTTGGATTTACTCAGGTTATTAAATGCTTTAAAAAGTCCCCCATGTATGCTCAGTCAGGGACTTAGGCAGCCTAATTAAGTATGTAGTGTTTCTGAGAATCCACCTAATTGTTCCAGTGGGGTATTATTTATCTCCTTACAACTTAGCATGTGGATGCAAGCCTTGTATAAACTGGGCATGCTCTTATTTTTGGAAGCCATTACCTTGCCTAATGTAACTCCTTCTTTCTCTGATTTAAGATCAGCAACACTCGAATGACACCAAAATAGAAACCTATTGTACAAATGCAGTGACTGCAATGCGTGGCAAATCTCTGTTCACTGGGATCCCAAGGGTACTTCAAGGGACCAGAGGAAATTGGGGGTGTTTTGTGTGTGTCTCTTTTTTATTTTCTGAGAAAGGCTATTTTGAGTCTATTTAAGCTCGGAACATTTATTTCAGGGAGGGTATATAAAGCTTGAAAACAGACATTATTTATTGAGATGCTTGTTCAGCTTCAGGAGTGTGGATGCAAGTTGGCTTACTGTCGTATTTTCTTAATGCAGCTATTTGCCTGAAATAACTTGCTTTCTTACTTATTTAGCAATCTGATCGTCATCAGTGTTCTGTGTACCCAAGTTACAAAAGTTAGACATAGCGCTTAATATTGGTAGGAATCAAATTATACTTATTTTAAGGGATGTTTGTATTGACTTCCTTGCAGGTAAAAATATAACTATCTTTAAACTGAGCCACAATACTATATTTTGCTAGTTTTATTTTCAGAAGTGAAAAACACAATTTAATTTTCCATAATTTTTCTTTACAGAGAGTATAGTAGAAGAGGAAGTATTAACTTTATGGGTATAAAGCAGCAAGTGCTAATTAAAGGTTTATAGCATTTTGTTTCACAGCTAATTTGTGTGTCTGAAGTGGTGCTGTTCAATATAGGTTTATACTGAAAATGTAAAAACTGAAAATGTAAAAATAAAGACATGCATTTATTTTTTTAGAAAATACTCAAATTATTAATTAATCTCTAAAGACTTAACTTTTGATGACATGTATTATCTTTCTGGATAGGAAATGACGGATTTCAAAGAAAGTATGTTTCTGCCCTCTCTTGTTTTAATGACCATCTGGGAAACTTTAGAAGAAACACAGAACTCTTGGCTCTAAGCTTAACAAGTGAAAGTTAGCGCTTATCTTTAAATTTATTTACAAACCGTGAATAATAGGGTTTCATTCATTTCTCTCTTTAACAAATGACCAGAGTCCTTTGTATAAATTATATGCGTGTGTATTATCTTTACATTCTGTGAGTATATGGATCCTTTTCAAATGTCAGCGCTCATGAAAGTGTACTGTGTCTATGGAGAATGGATGAAAGAGTTTTGTGGGTTCAAAAGTCGTTGCAAGTAGGAGAATAACTTCAAATAAAATATAGCCAGGATCATTAAAATCAGTTAATAATTCATGAACCAGCCACTGATGTATAAACTTAAAGTCATCACTGTTTCCTAAGGGCTAATTTCCATTTTAATTTCAAGTAGAAAGTTGACTGTTTGAACATTTCTTTTTCTGGTGTGGTTAACAAATTAAACCCCATATATTAAGAAATAAAAACTCATTATGTTACTCAAATGAATTGGTGACTCTTTGACTATATATTTGTAATTTTTCTTTCCTGAGTTCAATTTGTCTTTTCACCAGTAAGAAAATAATACACAGAATATCAATTAGCAAATATAATTTAAGTAGCACTAATCTGAAATCCAACATACTCCAAAATCCAAAACTTTTTTGAGCACTGATGTGACGGTCAAAGGAAATGCTCACTGAAACATTTCAGATTTCAGATTTTTGGATTAGGGATGCTGAACTGGTAAGTATTATGCAAATATTCCAAAATCCAAAGAACCCCTAAATCTGAAACTTCTAGTTCTAAGCATTTCAGATAAGGGATACTAAACCTGTAGTCGTCAGAATTCTGCCATCCCAAAATAAGATACTGTATTTAATGTAGGTGTGAGGTGAAATCATATAGTGGGTTATTAACGAACTTGGACTAAACTCTATTTACTAGCTATTTCTGCATATTTTTAGGGCTTTTCCTTTTGAATTATGGCTATTGACCTCTCATCCTTACGTAGATCAGTGCTATGTTGTTTTTATTCTATCAGTCCCAGACTTTGCTTTCTAATTTTTATGTGTATTATTTATTGATCACTCTGCTTAATTAAGACATTCTTATATTAGTGCTTTGACTCCACCTGATTGGGTTTCTGGCTTGGCTAGCTTGAAGGGTAAAAGAAACTGAAGGGTAATTTGTCATTTGTCCATCTTCTTGGGGATCATGGTTCAAATTGAGAACATATTGAGAGGGGAATTTGATTGAAACTCTTCTTAGATTGAGAGATTGAGAGATTCCTATATCCTACCATGACAAGTCTTCATGTAAGATATTGAAGCCACATTGTGAAAAAGAAATAAGGTTTTTCTAAGAGCCTTAGACCAGGGAACATAAACTCAATTGTCTCTTGGGTTGGGGGGGGGGGTGGGCAGTAAGTTAGCCTACATGGAGATAGGGTTTGTGGCCAAGTAGAGAACATACCCCATTTAAAGGGGTAGCCTTGATCAGCATTAGTAGACTGTTGCCCTGCCAACATTTGGGTCCAATGTCTCTATACTTTACAATTCTTTTTTCAAGAGGATGATAATCAGGGTTTTTATGTGAATTATCATGAATTTTAAGTGTTGTAATAAATTAACAAAAAATAATTAAAATCATTATGTGGGACCCTCAAAACTTGCTTGTGTGCTGATTC